CTGTAGTTGGAGAAAGGTCGCTGGGCCGATCGCGGCCATGAGGATGCCTCTGGTGAGATTAGGGTGGAGCATGCCTAACTTCATGACCCTGGTCGACGATTTCGTGAAATCCATCCCCCTTGGGATACTATCGCCTGCTCTTGTTGGGCCCCTGGTCCGAGCGGGATACCTGAGGATGCTGGAAAGAGATGTTGCTGCCAGTCGGGGAATCTCTTATCGTTTGTGTTATGACGTCGTCAAGGAATCTATCGCTCCTCGCAGCAAGCGTTATACTGCCCTTCAGAAGGCCCGGATTAGAGCCTTCTCCACTGAGGCCATCATGACCCATGCTCGTGCCAGGGGCCTCGGGTACGATGTCGATCCGTGTTGTGTTCATTGCGGGGCTAACGACACCATCTTCCATCGGCTGTGGGAATGCCATTTCCCTGATGCTGTCACCGCTCGGCTTGAGGCTACTGACAGTGAGGTGATTGAGGCCGCCCTGTCTGCTAAGGCGTCTGTCTGGAGATGACGACGAGCTTTTTGTCTTTAAATCTGGCGCTTTTCTTCGCCCCGCCGACTCCTTCCCTCGGACGGCCGATGAGCAAGATGATGGTCCGACCCTGATCTGGCATAAGATGCCTGAGACGGACCCTGACGGAGCCCCTGTCAGTAATGGAGTGTGGGGGCCCCTTTTTGTGGACGGCTCATGCTCCCGTCATACTGTCAAGGAGCTGTCTAGGGCTGGCTCTTCCGCCCGCATGGTCGACAATTCGGGCGATCTTGTGGCCGAGCTTAGGGCCCCTGTTTGGGGCCCCTACCCTCAGACTCCTCAGAGTGCTGAATTTAGTGCGTTCACCTGGGCCAATGTTATGTCGACCCATCCTTCTGAATGCCATGTGCATTCAGATTGCAGCAATGTGGTCCAGACTGCTGCGCTTGACAAGCAGCTTCAGCTCTCTCCTAAGCGTATGGATTCAGGGGCTTTTCTCCAGGTGCATGGTCAGGTCTCGGGGATTGCGGCCTGTACCAAGGTGGCGGCCCATCTTGACCTGGACGCGCCTGGGATTTCTGCTGAGGAGCGGCGGTGCCGTCTTGGCAACCACCACGCTGACGTGGGTGCCAAGCATGCGGTCCGCCTTCACCCCACGGATGATTCTGTCTTGCAGGAGGCCGATCGCCTCGTGCCACTGGCGAGGGCCACCTTGAAAGTTGCTGTGCATGTGCCCCCTCCGTGGCCTCCTGTGGATCTGGATGGGTTCGGCAGACTCCCAGATGTAAAGAGTCCGAAGAAGGAGGTGCCAGGGCGCGACAGGAGGTCGTGGGGCGGAATCTGGAGGTGCGCTCACTGTTTGAGGGGGAACCGTGCTTTTTCGAAGCCAGCTCCAGGTTCCTGCTGTCGGTCCTCTTTAGTCCACGCCGACTCTCAGGACGCCTTAGGCCATCGGACGGTGGCCTTTCCGTGCTCTGACAACTCTGTGCTCTTTATTTGTCTTAGATGTAAGTGCCTTACCTGTGGAGGCCATATTCGTGGACTCGGAAAACAGTGTGTTTCGGTCCCTTCGCGTGCGTGCAAGCAGGGTTGGGAATATTTGTGCAAAGGCCTCCACCCCAGGTATCTGCTGAGGATTTCTGGCGTTACGGTGGACACTGAAGGCATGATCCAGTGTTTCAACTCTGCTGCTGCCCTCGCTGCTCTCGCCGACGGAGCTTCGGAGGTGCCTGTGCAGGCATCCAGCTCGAATGATCGAGTTGTGTCGGAGGCCCCTCAGCAGGAGATGAGACAGGGACCCCAACAAATGCGACAGGACACACCTTTTTCCCTGGCGAGGCGTCGCCAGGATGAGTCGGACAGTTCGGATTGAAGTTTCTGCGGCGCAGGGCCGCCCTTCCGATTTCGTTTTGCTTGCACGGCCCGATGCGTCTGACCTTTTTGGCAGGCATCCGTGCTATACCCCACATCTGGGGCGAGGTTGGCAGTCGTCCTGGCGCTGTTTGTTTGCACCAGGGACTGCTGGCCTCGTCGTCCTTGTGTGGGTGGTCGAGTTCTCCCTTTGGCGTGGGTACGCCGTCTCTCTTTGTTTATGGCAGCACGGCCCGATGCGTCTGACCCTTTTGGCAGGCATCCGTGCTATACCCCACATCTGGGGCGAGGCCGACGGTCGTCCTGGCGCTGGCTGCACCAGGGGCTGCGGGCTCGTCGTCCTTGTGTGGGTGGTCGTTTTTGTCTCTTTGGTTCCTTTGTTGTGTGTTGTCTCGTTGTGCGTGCGTCCGTCGTGCACGCGTGTCAGGCACCCCACTTCTGGGGGAAGGTACGAGCACATCTAGGGTGCACTTTTTCCCTGCTCCGAGCACGGGGGTGACTCCATCCCGACAGTGGCTCGGCTTTTGGTGCTGCCGCGGCCTTGAGCCTGGGGCTCTTGGCCCCAACATCACTCCGTAGTTTGCGTTGGGCGGGCGTCCTCGTGCGTATGTGCGCTCGCTCGTCCCACTTTCTCGGCCCTCCGCCGCTGGGGGCTATCGTGGCTCTCGTGGCAGGGCGCTGTCTCGTCCGTTGTCCCTCTTGCACAGCCGAAGGCAGTCGGTACGAGATAGCCCTTTCATTTGCAGGATCCCTGCATTTGGATTGTTTTGCGCTCGCAGCTCGGCGTCCGCCTGTGGCCCGGTGTGCCTGCCCCTCGCTTAGAGATGTTGCGGCAGGTGCACATTGTGCTGGGGCACCAGGACGCAGAGACCCTTTTGGTCTTTCGAGCTGTTTCACTTGCGCTGATGACTCAGGCTTTTGGTCTGTGTCAGGGAGCCAGCATCCCCCTCCGCTGCTGGCCCGCCACCTTGGTCAGTCCAAGGTTTTGGAGGCGTTGGCGTTGATGTCAAAAAAATGGAGCCACAAGCGTTGCGTTGGGAGTGGGTGTGTCTCGGCAGTCCTTGCCAGCAACAAGGCGTGACAGACGCGGGGATGGCATTGGCATTGTTGGCGCGAGGTATATATATATATAGACAGCATGTCAGGTGCGATTTCTAGCAAAGCGGGAAGTTGGCGGACGCAGTGCGGTTGGCCAGTGCCTAACCACTGCTGTCGATCCAGGGAATCGTAGATCCAAATCACCCAACACGGAAATTCAGTTGATGGAGACGTGTTGCACCAGCGTCCGTTGTTGCGTCCACAAGGCCCGCTTGGCCTGCTCATATAAGCATCGAGGCGTTATCCCAGCACCTTCATGCTGTGCACAATGCGTACTGATTCCATGGCCCCGCGCGCAAGATCCTTAGCCATGTGCGTCGCTCGCAACTTCGGCGGCAGATGCAGAGAACGACGAGGAGGAGGAGGAGGAGGAGGAGGAAGAGGAGGAAGAGGAGGAGGAGGAGGGAGGAGGCAGGAGTAGGAGGGGGGAGGACCAGGACGAGTCAGTGGTCTGTGTTGCGGCTGTGGGAGCGTGGCAGCAGGCTGAACGTCTGTAAAGGTGTAGCCTGCTGCCCAAGGCCCAGGCTGCTCGCAGAGACTGTCGGGCACGGGTGCAGACAGAGTGCGGGCGCTAGCACAAACTGGCGCTGGGGCCACCAGTAACCCCGAAGGGTCTTTAAGAACCCCCGGGCAATGATGGGAAACTAATTCCGCGAGCTTATTGACGGATTGGGACCCTAACAATAGTGGGAAAATAGCCATGCCCCCGCGGCGGCCACCGCACATGCCTCCGCTGGAGTCGTCGCCGCCGCCGTCTGCGGTGGCCCCACATGCTTCTGCTGTGGACGACGACAGGCTTCTGAGGAGGAGGAGGAGGAGGAGGAGGAGTGAGGGGAAGGAGGAGGAAGTGGAAGGAGGAGGAGGAGGAGGAGGAGGAGGGGCTAGTTTCTACGTGCGCTCCGCCGAGAGCTTAGGGGTGGGGGTCCTCAACACCAAGACCCTTCGCGGTCAGATGGCACCGGCGGCGTGTGGAGGTTGGTCCTGACTGGCGGCGTGCCTACAGCGGGTGGTGGCTGTCTGAGCTCGCGGATTCTCTGGTCCCCGACGTCCTTAACCTGGCCTGGGATGTCCTTGTCATCGCCGTGAGCGACGCCCACCGAGGTCGAGGTGCCCTGCAGCACGTCACTTCCGCCTTCACGCATATCGTCATCCCCAGAATTGGAATAGGTTGACGGATGTGGCTGGTCACGACGAGATTCGTTTGCCTTACGAATGTGTCCTGAGAGGTTTGCCCAAGGAATGTGGGAGGACAGCCTCTGCGCCCCAAAATCACGAAACGCTCAGAGCAACGACTGCGCCGCTCTGACTTCGGCTCGGCGGCACTGCGCCCGGCAAGCAGCGGCCGGCCCAGGTGTTGGTGACAGCGGCGAGCCTCCGCAAAGGGCAGCCATCGCGCGGCGACCCCGCGCCGCAACAAGCCCAGGAATTGGGAGGTGGGACGGGGGCATGCCCCGTGGCGGCCTGAGAAGCGCCCTGGCGCCGGCTCCCCAAGCTTCCCGGGGAGCCTGCTCGAGATTGCGTTGGAGGAAGGAGAACGGAGGAGGACCGAGGGCAGAGTGTAGCGTAAGGGGGGGAGGAGGAGGGAGGAAGTAGATGAAGGAAGGAGGAGCAGGGAGGAGAAGAAGGAGGAGGAGGAGAATTAGGAGGACATGGAGGATGGGAGGATGAGGAGCTGGATTAGCAGGGAGGCGGAGGAATCGGAGGAGGGGGAGGGAGAAGAGAAGAGGGGGCAGGGGAGGGGGGGCGCAGTATGCTCTTCTTCCTCCACCACCGTGCACAGTTCTGATAGCTTCTGTTGACCATTCGAAGTCTTCGCCCCATTCATGTGCGTTGAACACTAATGACTTGATGATCCATCTCCTCCCCGTGCTCTTCCCCCTCCTTCTCCATCGGCATTTCCTTTTCCGACGACGAAAACGAAGACGAGGACAACGAGGAAGATGAGGAGGACAACGACGACGAGGACGGCGAAAACCACGACGAGGAGGAGGAGGAGGAGGAGGAGGAGGAGGATGGCGACGGCGGATGCTGGGCGACGGCAGCGTCGTCAAGCGCGGAGGTTGCCGGGGCCGTGACCTCCAGCGTGGCCGCCTCGACGTTCTCGTTCGCTGGCCGCCACGCCATCTCTGGCACGGCCTACGCGGCGCAAAGCGCGTGGGGCCTGGCGAGGGGGGCTGGCGAGAAATCATTGTCGTTATCATCGTTTTCCTATTTCTCCGCGGCGTGTGCCGTCGCCGCCCTTGCTACCCTGGCTCCGCCACGGGACTCGAACTTCATGTGCGTACCCGTTACCTCATCATCATCATCAGCGTCATCATCATCATCATCATCATCAGCAGCAGCAGCATCAGCATCAGCAGCATCAGCATCAGCATCATCATCAGCAGCAGCATCATCAGCATCATCATAATCACCAGCATCAGCATCATCAGCATCATCATCAGCAGCATATCAATAATCATCAGCATCAGCATCAACATCATCGTCAGCATCAGCATCATCAGCATCATCAGCATCATCAGCATCATCATCAGCATCATCATCTGCATCAGCATCATCATCAGCATCATCATCCTCCTCCGCGACCCCGGGGGGATGACGGGAGGATGGATCTGGGCCCTCGCATTTGCCACCGAGCTGCATCATATCGTACCAACCATCCACTTCCCTCTGCACTACAGTCAAAAACCCTAATAAGGACGCGCGACTTTGCTCAGGCTACCCTTGCGTCCTTGCTCTTCCTTGCTCTTGCGTCCTTGAGGTTTGCGTCGGCCGCCGCCCCAAGAATCCCAACTTCGGCTTCCAAGGGTCTTGCGACCTTACCGCGCGTCCTTATTAGGGTTTTTGATTGTACTGGCCGAAGCGAGCGCCGCGTCCGACGATCGCCCCGGAGCGTGCTGCGGAGAGCGCCAGCGGCACGACGCCAGCGGGCGAGGGCTGGCTCGCCCGCCTCCGAGCGATGCGGAGGGCGGTGTGCGCCTTCCACCCCCTCCTTCTTCTCCTCCTCCATCCCTCCTCCTCCCCCTCCTCCTCCTCCTCCATCCCTCCTCCTCCTCCTCCTCCTCCTCCTCCTCCTCTTCCTCCTTCTCCTCCTCCTCCTCCTCCACCTCCTCCTCCTCCTCCTCCTTCTCCTCCTCCTCCTCGCTCTCTGGAGTTCGGCTTGTAGGGGGCCAGATGCGAACCCTACCCCTACCCCCCACGATTTCTGAAGGGAAGGATGGGGTTCACTTCGTTCGGGACCTCCCGTGCGAAGTGAACCCCACCCTCCCCTCAGAAGTGGAAAGTGTCGTGTCGCCAACATCGCAGAGCGGATTTCGTTCGGAAAACCACAGGGTGGGCCCGGAGTGCCCTGGAGCATCGCGTTCCGATCTCGAAGTGGATGTCGTGCGGGTTTGTCTGGCCAGGAAGGAAGACGAAACAAAAGTCCACGCGAATGTCACTTCGTTTTTCGCTCGCCGCTTCGGGGTTTTGCAGTGACAGGAATCCGCGCAAAGATCCGCTGCAGCACGTCTGCAAGCCTGGCGCAGCGACAAGTGATTCGGGGGATGCCCCTGGTCTCCGCAAACTTGAACTCTCGGTCGGGGCCCCCCGAGTCTCCTTAGCGCCTGGGCGAAGAAAAATCGACTCCCGAGGAACGCGAGACGCGTCTCCGAGGCCACGGTCTTTAGCGCAAGAGCTTCTAGGATGCTCCTGGGGCCGCGAGTCCTCGTACGCCAAAAAGTCGCTCCGCGCTCCAGGGGCTGATGGGGACGCCTGGGGGCGCCTACAAACGGTTGGAAACGCGCCGCGGCGCCTGGGAGTGCATGGGGATGCTTGGGGTCGCCTCGGGGCGCCCCTGGAATGCATGGAACGCCTGAGATCCAGGGTGCGCCAGGGAACGTCCGGGGACGCCTGAGAAGGCCGCTTGGAAAAGCGTGGGAACGTCTGGGAGCGCCTGGGAGCACCTGGGAGCGCCTGGGAACGTCTGCCAGCGCCTGGGAGCCCCTGGGAGCGCTCCGGAACGATTGGGAGCACCTGAGAGCACTTGGGAGCGCGTGGCAGCGTCTGGGAACGCTTGGGAAAACATGGGAGCGCTTGCGAGCGCACGGGAACGCCTGGGAGCGTTTTGTAGCACGTAGGAACGCATGGAGGGACTTCGGATCGCTGGGGAACGCGTGGGAGCGTTTGGAAGCGCTTTGGAACGGCTGAAGGCGCCTGAGAGCGCTTGGAGGCGCTAGCGCATATGAGCGCCTGACAGTGCTTGGGAACGCCTGGGGTGGTCTGGCCTAAGAACATCCTTAACGACGCCTGAGAGGGCTTCGGAGCTCTTGGGAACCTTCGGAACGTTAACGAGCATATGGGAACGCTTCTTGGCGCTTGGGAATTCGAGGGGGCGCCTAGGAGCGCCTCTGAAAGCTTGGGAGCGTTTGGGAGCGCTTGCGAGCCCCTGGCAGCAACTAGGAGCACAACATGGAAACAGTTTGGATCGGCTGGGGGTTTGTGTGGGAGCGCTTGGGGGGGCGTGAGAGCGCGCGGGAGCGCCTGGGAGCGCCCATGAACGACTGGCAGCGCCTCGGAGCGCTTGGAACGCCAGGGGGCGCAGGGGAACGCCTGTGGGCGCCCGGGAGCGCCGGGGGACATCTGGGGGCGCCCGGGAGCGCTTGGGAGTTCCTGGGGGCGTCCGAGGCAGCACCCGCGCTCCCGATGGCATGGTCCCAGAGCCCCGAATGCTCCCCCGGGAAGCTCCAAGGATCCGTAGGGTTAAGTCGGGCCTGTCTCTCTATAGAAGGGATATCCAAAAATAATTAAAAACAACAAAATGAGGGCGATGCTTTGTCAATTGTTTTAAACATGTGGGAAAAAATGTTTGGGTACGTCGCACCCCGCAGATGCGGATAAGAGTGACGGGGCGGTGGGGGCGTCGGCAGTTTGCGAGACTCCGGAGAAGCCCGCCGCAGGCGCCAAAGTTTCACAAATTATACAACGAGGCCGCCGCAGGCGCCGATTATTCGTTAAAACAATGTGAGTCGATCGCGGGTGGGTCGCGGGTGGGTCGCTATTGGGTCGCGGGTGGGCCGCGGGTGTAGAGGGCAGAATATCCACCCCATAATGATCACCCCGGCAAGCGAAGCCGTTTAGTAAACGCACACAAGGAATGAATCGAACAGGGCAGGACTGTCTAGGCAACGCCCAGGGCCGTTTAGAAACCTCATTTGTCGGGTCTGGGTGGCTTCTCCTCCCTTGAGGGTGGGTCGCGGGGTGGGTCGCGGGTGGGTCGCGGGATGGGTCGCGGGGTGGGTCGCGGGGTGGGTCGCGGGGTGGGTCGCGGGGTGGGTCGCGGGTGGGTAGCGGGGTGGGTCGCGGGGTGGGTCGCGGGGTGGGTCGCGGGCGGGTCGCGGGTGGGAGAATGACAACAAACAACAAACAACAACAACAGCAACAACAACAACAACAACAACAACAGCAACAACAGCAACAACCAACAACAACAACAACCACGACAACCACAACAACAATCAGTTGACCATCATGCGCCATGCTTCCACATGTCACATGCATCCTTCTGGATACCACACCCCATCATGGGGGATTGTTATGGCATGCGGGGCCCGACATTCCCTCACCCAGATCTCCCGCCCAAGAAAGTAACTTATTGCCACCACCTTCTCCGAGGAATTTCGACATCTACAGCTCGGACGGCACATCGCCATCGCAATCGCCTTGCGCACGCCCCGCATTTCGGAGGAGGAGGAAGAGGACCAGGCGGAGGAGGAGGGGGAGGAAGGAGGAGTAGTTGTAGTAGCAGTACCTCCGATGACGAGGTTGTGATTACTCTTCGTTCGAACTGTTCCGCCGCCATCCTGCGGCCTCGGCGCGTGACCCTGGACGTTCACGCCCCCAGGCGCCGCCGCTCCCATGCCCGCATCCTCCACCTGCCCCATCCACGCCCTCTCAAGGAATCCCGGAAGTCAATCCTTCGACCCTCGATCCTTGGGGCCCCTGGAAATCATCCGTCCTTCTTCTCCTCTTCCACATTATCTATGCTGTCCAAAAAATGATAGTTCCTATATATAAATATATACATATATTTATAGTATGTATATGCGTGTGTATGTCTAACTATAAAAACAAAGACATACAAATAGAAACGGTGACTCTTGGAAGCCCCCCTGAGGCGATGCGGAAACGAGAGCCCCAGTCTTGAGTAGAAGGCGAGGAAATATCAAACGGGAGCGACTAGGGAGGACGGAACGGGAAGGGATCGAGGAGGGAGGAATGCGGCCGGTGGAGGAAGGAAACCAGGGGGCGAAAAGGGAAAGGAGAGGGGGGGAGAAGGGAGGAGGAGGGAGGAAAGAGGGACGGGAAAGGGAGGAGGGAGGGGGGAGAAGAGGAGGGGGCGGAGGGAGGAAGCGGTGGGAAGATAAAAGGGGAAGGACGGAGGACGAGAAGGAGGAGGAGGAAACGAAGGAGGAGGAGGAGGAGGAGGAGGGGGGACGAGGGCAGCGAGGAGGAGGAGGAGGAGGAGGAGGAGGAGAGGAGGAGGAGGAGGAGGAGGAGGAGGAGGAGGAGGAAGAGGAGGAGGAGGAGAGGGAGGAGAATGGGGGGAGGGCGGAAAAGGGAGGAAAGAGGGACGGAGGAGGGAGGAAGGAGGGAGAAGAGGAGGGGATGGAGGAAGGAAGAGGGAGGAAGAGGAGGGGGGGAGGGGGGAGGAGGTGGAGGAGGAGGAGAGGGAGGAGGACGAGGCGGAGGAGGAGGAGGACGACGACGAGGGCAAGGGGGAGGAGGAGGAGAAAAGGGCGCCAGTCCAGCGTAAAACAGGAGAAAGTCTCGGCAGGAGCGCTGGTTTTGTCGAGGTGGGGGCTGTCGGCGGCGAGCAAGAGCACCTCCTTGAATAAAAAAGGGAAAGTCTCGAGCGGGAGCGCTGTTGCTGCTGGGGGGCAGCGCCGATGAGAGAAAGAGTAGCGCGACTGTCCAATATAAAACGGGAAAAAGTCTCGAGCGGGAGCGTTGGTTATGTTGAGACGGCTACTGTCGGCGGCGAGCCAGAACACCGGCCCTGAGCAAAAAAGGAGGAAGTTTCGAACGGGGTCGTTGCTGTTGTTAGGGGGCCGGTTTGGGCGGCCCCCCGAACCGTTTGAGAGCGAGCCTCATCTTCATTGAAAATGCAGCCGACGCCTCGGCGAG